TCCTGGCCACAGCAGATATCTGAGCCTCCACAGAGAGTGCTGGTTCCAGGAGTGCCCCCCCAATCTGTGGACCCAATCTTTCAGGAGGAATGTAACCCCACCCAGGCCAGGTAAATTGCCAGTCTGGCAAACCACCTAATAGTAAGATCTCCACCTTCTCTGAAATCAGTTTCAATTTACTGGCCCTCATCCAGTTCATTGTTGATGTTAGGCAGCATTCAAGAACCTGAACAGCATCCTCTGCAAATACAGTAGAGAGCGAGCTGCATATTATCAGCATACTGGTCACATTGTCGTCGTCGTCGTTTAGTTGTGTCCGACTCACATCCTCTGCAAATACAGTAAAGGAGAGAGAGAGCTGCATATTATCAGCATACTGGTCACGTCGTCATCGTCATCGTTTAGTTGTGTCCGACTCTTCGTGACCCCATGGACCAGAGCACACCAGGCCCTCCTATCTTCCACTGCCTCCCAGAGTTGGGTCAAATTCATTCTGGTAGCTTCGATGGTCCGATGGGACCAATACTGGTCACAGTGAATTCCAAATCTCTGAATGACTTCTCCTAGTGGTTTCATATAGATGGTAAAAAGCATTGGGGGGATAATTGACCCATGTGGAACCCTATAATGAAGGTCTCGAGGAGATTGAGACAGCACCCCAAGCTGCACCATCTGGAATCGGTCTTCAAGGAGCGACCAGAACCAGCAAAAGACAGAGCCCCCAATCCCTAAATTTGAGTGTTCTGAGAAGGATACCTTGGTTGACAGTATCAAGGCCGCAAAAAAAAATCCAGGAGCACCAAAAGGGTTACACTCCCCCTGTCAACTTCCCTTAGGAGATCCTCTTACAGAGTGACCAGTACTGTCTCCATTCCTTGATGTGGCCTAAAACCCAAATAAAACTGGTCTAAACTGTCAGTAGGTTATCTGAAACAATGTATTACTCCCCACCCATTGAATTTAGGATTTACATCTGAGTAGCTATGTTAGTAAGTGTGTTGTTTATCATTAAGTTCCTGCTGAACTTATTGTTCATATTCAGAACATCACTGATCGAGTGAATCAGTTAAAGATGCTCCCTAATAATTGGATTTGAGAGTTACTATTTCTGCTTATCCCTAAAGTGTTCTCTCCACTGGCAAAGAACCACAGGTCAGGTTGTGCACAAGGACTGTGCAATCAGTCACTTGTACATTACTTGTGTGTCACAAGAGCTTATGGCAGGCAGTGTGAACATCAACATCTTTGCTTCCAGAGATAGTTCTGGCTTGATTTTCTCTTGGACCCACTTGTTTGTCTTTCTGGCAGTCCAGGGTGTCCTCAAAGCTCTCCTCCAGCACCACATTTTGAATAATTTTTTTCCTGGTCAGCTTTCTTAACTGACCAGCGTTCACACCCATACATAGCAATTGAAATGCAATAGCATGGATGATTGTGGTCTGACAGAGCATTAACATAGGTGGAAAAAAAATCTCCTTTTAGAACCCTATCCTGTGCAAAGGGTTTCATATAAAGTGAACATTAAATTAGCTTAGCATTGGCAGTCATCATGAGATGAATTTACGTAAGTGATCAAAACAGAAAGGAAGTAATTAAGATGCAACAATTTAATGAAAAGAATGGTCTTGCTGGAATCAGACCAAGAGCCCAGCTAGTGCAGCATTTTCAACACCTACCAAGAGTACATTTCTGTTGTGGAGTTCTGAATTTCTAGTAAAATTTCCTTTTGTTATGCAATACAAATACAGAGAATAGCTACAAATTTCCCAGTCTGCTCCTTTCTCATTAATTGGCATGTGAAGCCTCAATAACTCTGAGACATTTGTAGGAGAATTTTAAAAATTCTTTACTTACAGCTGAATGGAAAGTACAGACTTATGTTGCTTTCTTTTGTACACAACTTAGCCAGCAATCAAAGAGATCAACAGCAGACAAACAACTGCCTCCAACAGACAAAAAAGAACACTCAGGAGAGAGGAGAGGCTCTTTTAATTCAAAGGCTGGAAGGAACGATTGGTTAGTGGTGTCCCTCCCAGTCATAAAAACTACAGATAGCATGCTCACAAACAAAATGCTAAAATGTCCTGAAAGACCAATTTAGGTACAATAATGCACTCTGGCATTCTCTTCAATGGGTGACTCTGGATGAATTATTGCAACAGAACTGTTCTCAGTCCTTACCTTAAACTAGGGGAAGTGTGGTACATCTGGTAGCCTTCCAGATGTGCATAACACATACTATGTGTTATTTATTTATTAGATTTATACCTTGCACCATCTGGCAGCCACGTCACTCTCAGTTAGGCTGGCTAAAGCTGATGGGAGTTGCAGTTTGAAATTTGGAGCATCCCATGTTCCCTGGTCCAGGTTTAAACTTTGCTATCATGGGGTCACCAAGAGTTGGACATGACTAAGCAACAGCAATCAACACAAAGCAGGTACACATACTGTACAAATGTGTGGGTGGGAGTGTTTAAAGTGTCCTTAAACTAGTGCTCTTTTAAATGTTTTTAAAATACTATGGTTTAAACAGTATCTGTTTTCTAGTCATTTATGGGCAGATTATATCCCTGGAGCAGAAAAAACAAAGTGGCACAGAAATGAAAATAAATGCCTACACTGACGCTGATACGATGACAAATCATTTATGAATCTCCCTTATTGTTCTTTTTATTGTTTAGTCATTAAGTCGTGTCGCATGGAACAGAGCACGCCAGGCTCTCCTGTCTTCCACTGCCTCCTGGGGTTGGGTCACATTCATGTTGGTTGCTTTGATGACACTGTCCAATCATCTCATCCTCTGTCGTCCCCTTTTCCTCTTGCCTTCACACTTTCCCAACTTCAGGGTCTTTTCCAGGGAGTCTTCTCTTCTCAAAAGATGGCCAAAGTATTGGAGCCTGAGCTTCAGGATCTGTCCTTCCATGGTTGAGTTCCTTCAAAATGGATAGGTTTGTTCTCTTTGCAGTCCAGGGGACTCTCAAGAGCCTCCTCCAGCACCACAATTCAAAAGGATCAATTCTTCAGCGGTCAGCCTTCTTTATGACCCAGCTCTCACTTCCATACATCACTACAGGAAAAACCATAGCTTTGACTATGCGGACCTTTGTTGGCAAGGGGATGTCTCTGCTTTTTAAGATGCTGTCAGTAGTAATACTACCGCTGTCTAGGTTTGTCATTGCTTTCATCCCAAGAAGCAGGCGTGATCATGGAGCCCAAGAAAGTAAAATCTGTCACTGCCTCCATATCTTCCCCTTCTATTCGCCAGGAGGTGATGGGACCCGTGGCCATGATCTTAGTTGTTTTTTTTATGTTGAGCTTGATACCATTTTTTGCACTGTCCCCTTTCACCCTCATTAAGAAGTTCCTCAATTCCTCCTCACTTTCTGGCATCATCTGCATATCGGAGGTTGTTGATATTTCTTCCGGCAATCTTAATTCTGGCTTGGGCTTCCTCCAGTCCAGCCTTCCGCATGATGTATTCTGCATATAAGTTAAATAAGCCGGGGGACAATATACAGCCTTGCCGTACTCCTTTCCCAATTTTGAATCAATCAGTTGTTCCATATCCAGTTCTAACTGTTGCTTCCTGTCCCACGTATAGGTTTCTCAGGAGATAGATAAGGTGGTCAGGCACTACCATTTCTTTAAGGACTTGCCATAGTTCACTGTGGTCCACACAGTCAAAGGCTTTTGCGTAGTCAATGAAGCAGATGTTTTTTCTGGCTTTCTCCGTAATCTCGGTGCATGTTAGCAATTTGGTCTCTAGTTCCTCTGCCCCTTCGAAATGGGGATCAATGGGGATCTGGTGGGTCAGCTCCCCGTGAGTTCATTTGATTCAAACGGGCCTACTCTGGTGCAATTTGTTACACCTAGCAACAGGATTTGGACCATTGGCGCTTGGGGGCAGTTCTTCCCAGGCATCCTCGCCATCGCTTATTGGATCCAGAACACAGCAAGAAGAATGCAGTAGCTCATCTCTTTCCCCCGCGTTTAACAGCAAAACAGCTTTCCCTCCAAACAGCCCTCACAATGCCTCCCAAGGATTTCCCCCCACACATACACACACACAGACGCACAAACACACGACCCACGAGCCCGTCTCCCCCTCGCCCTACGCATTGCTGCAGCCGCTACCATGGAGACGACGGCCCGGGAAAAATCTCGCGATATTCCCGCCCCCGCCTTGCTTTGCGAGGGGGGAGGCGTAGCTCTCGCGAGAGCGTCGTGTCCACGGGCCTGCCTGATTGCTCCTGCGGCTTCTTCCGGCTGCAAGGGGGACTTCGGAGTGCCGAGTCAGCTGGGCGGCAGGAGGAGGCGGCGGGCGGCG